AACTATAGGAATATGTGAAAAAAAATGTAGCATAAGATTGCAAAATGGCCGCCATATATCCTTGAAATTGATTTATTTGCAGTAGGTTAAAGATGGCTTTCATGTTAGAGTTTACTACAGTGGTCAGCATATATATCAATAAACTGTTGGTTACTGAAACGGTGATACTGATATTGAACAATTTCAGTGCCTTCAATAACTCTTTATTATTTAACATTTTAGTACAGAATACTCTCTTCAAATACTTGTAAGTGTTGAAGTTGGCAAACCTTTAAAAGGCTCACTATATATGAAAGTTATTTTTGTATCATCATTTATTCACAAACTGTTATTCTCACATATTTCAGGCTTTTAGCCTCTGGAACATTCTATATATAACATCACAAGTTGATAATTGAACTAGAAACAACCAAAATAAAAGATTAAGACATTAAATAAACTAAATAAAAATCTGTTGTTTAAATATGTCAGTAGACTCAATAGTTATTTGTTTAATAATCATAATCAAGATAATTTATTAACTCTTAGACCTAATGTTTGGAATTATACGGGTTACTTAGTTGAGAGTTTTGCCAGGGTTGTTATAGCAACTCAAATAAACTTTTACTTAAAAAGGAATACTTATATAGAGAAAAAATCTGTACAAAAACATAATTTTTCCTATACCATGGATACATTTTACTGAACTTGGAAAGAATTTTTATCCCTGACAGGCAGGTATGTATTTCTAAAAACCCTGTCTAGTCAAAGCCAAGGGTACAATACAGGTAGCTTCAGAAATATTAAGATCTCTTCTGCATATCAAAATTCCAAACAGTCAGTATCCGTATTATATCACCATTCCAGTAAACAATTTAGTATTGATAAATATGCTGACCATGGGAAAATTATTTTTGTTTTCCTTAAACGATATAATTTCAAGTAATCCTCCATTGAACTATATCATCTAAACCTTCTTCGGAGCAAAAAAGATATCCTTGTTTTCAAACTAAAAATTGATAAGGTTGAACTCCAAAAGAGGATTGGTGAAGGATTTACGATAGATCTATCCTTCATGTTTAATCTATTCAAGAAAAAATGAAGATAACGCAAGAATTATTTTAAATACATTTGACTTGTTGTTGGGTATTTAAATAGAGAAGATTAAAATGAAACAAATTAATCTGATTCAAAGGATTGTACAAGCGTAAAATAAAATGCATAGATGGCAATATCCCATTTAAAACTAAAAGCTTTAATATGAATTATTCATGTTTTTGTTTTGTTTTATTAACTGATTATTTTTGTTTTTGGTTTTTGACTTGCGCATTCTTGCTTATAAGAAACGATGCAGAAATTATCAAAACAAAACACTTTTCTTGTCAGAAAACGGCGATATCTTCCACACTTTTAATCCGATTAAGTTTTCAAGGGTACCGGTGTAAATCGAGCATTGTCATCTTTGCATGGATGGTCACTTGAAATTACCCTTATACAGTCCCTTTTAGTTTAATATTTAATTTATGTGTCTAGATATTATATGGAGAAACAAGAATTGAGCAGAGAACGAGAAAACGATCCTCAAAATCTTTTTTGGCAAATACATCTTCAGACTCTAATTCAGATTCTGATTCTGATTCTGATTCTGATTCTGATTCTGATTCTAATCAGGTAAACTTGAAGATTTTGGTTAAAGGGATGGTTGGCTTTATTTCAAGTCTCCCTTCATGTGAATAGTGCACGCGAAATTGCCGCTTTAGCGATTGTATATTTAACCAGATGCAATTGCAGCCTGACAGTCAGACCGTGTCAACCTATAGTTGCACCAGCCAGCCTTGCCTACTGTACCGTGTAACGGGCGGGGCGGTACAAACTACGACCCTAATGGTTGGTTCAGCTGAGATTCAAATGTACATGATTTGAATGTTATGCAATAAGTTGATTAGTTTTTGGTTCTTTTTTGATGATGTTTGGACTTTAAAGAGGTTCCACAAACACAAGAAATGTCACACTATGAATTCTGTTGGATATAAAAATCTAAGTTTGAAAAATCAAAGGTTTATACTCAGAGCTGAAAACTTTTGAATGTGATATCCTTAATCCCGATCTGTTAATTAATCAGGAGATTAAATTCATGAGGTTTATAAGCAATATTTAATCTGGAGATTAAGAAAAAGAGTGGATTAAGCATTAATCCTGATATCCACCATTCTAAAGTTTTCAGCTCAGATTGCATAGATTGAGGGATAAGAAAATCACACCTTGTGTCAAAGACTTAATTCCTTTTAAGAGAACATAGTTTTGAAATATTGAAACTTTTCTTTAAAGTTTTTAAAAACGAACCAAAACAATTAACAACAATACATGTAAAGAGAAACAACTGTAACCATTCAATTCTGTACTTATAGTGTTACCATAAAAAAGATGGTATGAAATAAAGGAAATCTAAAGCCTGAAAACTGATGTGAGTTAATCTACAGAGTATTGGAAAAAATGTATTTACAAGTAATAAATGAACAAATAAAATTATACTAATGAATCATGGAAAGCCGGAGCTCTCTGACGGACTCTCCGCCTTTCATTCGCCTCGTACAACGAGTTAATCTTTCGCCTTCGGACTCTTTGTGAATACTGACTCATATTTCTGTTTTAGCCCAGGCTGCTCCTATTTTCTCCTTCTAAGCCGTGGTTCATGCCTATTGGCTTGAATTCAAACTAGGATCTGGGGAAACGGTGGCTTCGGTTTCCATGCGTTCCAACATGTGTTCAAAGCATGTTTTCTGGGTTGGCATTTTCTAACGACAAATATTTCTCCAAATTGGCGACTTATCATCCGCCCCACTTTCTGTCCGACCTATAGCTATATACAAAAGATCTAATTTACGTTGTCTTGTTTACAGGTCGGACTACTTGTACTCCGAGCATAGCTCTAGGTCTGTATGAGGACTGAAGGGTTTATATCAATAAAACTATCCACTCTGAGTTTAGCTCCCTGTTCGTATGAGAACTGAAGGGTTAAATCAATGGAACTATCCCTAATCCGAGCTATTGAGCTCACACTTGTTAATATCTTAGCTCCGGTTCCGTATGAGGACTGAAGGGGTTAAATCAATGGAACTATCCCTAATCCGAGCTATTGAGCTGGTTACATCTTAGCTCTGGGTCCGTATGAGGATTGAACGGGTTGCAAAAGTCTTATCTTGATAAGTTAGTAAGAAACAAATTCTGTCAAATTCCTTAATTGTCATTGCTTCATAAGTCCTCAGCAACTACAAACTAAAGAAAATTGTCAACACTGTTTAAGATAGAATAACTACAACATCAGTACTTAATCATCAGTAATAAAATGGTACTGTCGTGAAGCGGGTATTCGTTTCATCATCATTCATATTTGGAGGGACACTTAGTCTCAGTCCGGCCTTTAAACATATATTACATATACTGTCATGTTTTTCATATTTTTTTACTAATATCTATCAGGAATAATAAAAGAAAAGGAACCATTTTCATATTTTAAGAATTTATATGATGTATATAGGACAAAGGGTACAGCATACTTTTAGTTAATAAAACTGATATTAACCATACATACAGATCTAATAACTCCTATACACATTTGCTATATTAAAAAAAGGCTGTGGAAGTTCTTATTAAAGTTAACATCAGAATAAAAATCTTTTTGAGATTTTTAAAAAGTATAACTCATGCATGAGTTATAATTTTCAGGGCAACATATATTAATTCAGTATTATTTGATAAAAAAATGCTTTCTTTTGAATTTCAGGGCAACATATATTAATTCAGTATTATTTGATAAAAAGAATGCTTTCCTTTGAATTTCAAGGCATGATATATTAATTCAGTAATGTGATAAAAAATGCTTTCCTTTGAATTTCACCCTGCAAGAATTAATAGTGTAGTCAAGTAACTCACATAAAAAGTGCTTAAATAAAATTAGAAAGACGTCAATATCTTTTAAATAACAATTTTTGGAAAAAACGTGAAAAATTTCCGTAAATTGCAACTATTAAAAACTAATTCTCAGGGTGTTCCAGAAAACTTGTGTTGCGGGCTTTTTTATAGTACTTTTTTAGGAGAAGGGTGTTGGATTAAAGAATGTCGTTATTAAATCTAAAAAATCTGTTTTCTGGATCTCAAAGAATAATGCAGACACAAAACAGACGAAGGTAATGTATTTAAAAAAGAAGCCTTTAAATTGAAATATCCAAATATTCTGTTTCGTATGTTTAATTTTAGACAAATATTACACTAAAAAGACTGTTTTGTTTCGTAACTTTTTAAAAATCAAACAAAATACAATATGATAATATTTAATTATAGGACTATATAAATTACAAAAAGATATAAAAAGGGTTTTCTTAATTCATGTTTCCCTATAACTCAATGTTACTTTAGTTTAATCACATTTTTTTATTCGCAATAAAATATTTAACGTATTTGATTTCTGAAATGTCTTATAATCTTGAATTTCATTTTTTTAGATATATTATTCTAGGTTTTGTTCTTCACTTCCCGGAAAGCATTGCATCGTGTTGACTTTCTGATGAGCAGAAAGAATTCATTTCAGATTTATGCAACCCTCTCCGGGATAGGGCTCAACCTGGTAGGTCAAAAATTCAGGGATGAATGTACATCCCCCCCCCTCTTTTGAAAATCATTTCCCCTCTTCTTTTGAAAAAAAAATTTCCATAGAAGCTATTTATGAATTGGGTAAAATAAACTAAAAAGGATAAAAAAAACTTTCTTTCATGCCCAATTTTCCCTGATCTTCACAAATCATTTCTAAAAAATATACACCCCTGAAAAATGTTATCTTTAGTGAGACCCATAAAACTGTGGAACAGAAAGACGATCTTTTGCGTATTTATTGTTGTTTTAAACAAACAAGTTACTTAACATAAAGCAAACAAGTTACTCAACATAAAGTAAACAAGTTACTTAACATAAAGCAATCAAGTTACTTAACATAAAGCAAACAAGTTACTTAACATTGAACTTATCAAATGGGTCTGTGCACACTGCACTCTGTACAATTTTCTGTGTATCATGTTCAGTGGACTATTTGAATTCATAACTTGATTCTAAAAGTCGTCTTCCTAGTCCACTGTTTAATGGTTCTCATGGTAGTTTTGACAATAGTTCGAAGTTGATAAATATTGAGAATTAGTTGAAACACGGATAGTTGAACCACTTAAATATGTCACTGTCGGCCATGTTTAACTATCTGTTCTTAGTTCAACGACTTCTCAGTATTCAATAAATCTGACCTCAGTAAAATGAATAATTTTGCACAATGAGATATTTATTGCGAAAAAAACTTAGTCCAAACAGCTTTCAGTTGGTTTATATTTCTCTAGTTAGGAATGATATTAGATGAAATATTATATCATGCATAGCTCTTTAAATTATTATTTTTGGGATCTTTAATAAAAAACTTTATAAGATTGAATAATAATAAAAACATGTGCATGCAGAAAATAGCGGTAAAGTTTTCAGGTTTTGAAAAAGTTGGTTCGATTCCCATTTTTATAATGCTTTTATTGTATATATTTCTAGATAAAGGATGGATGTGAGATAGGACTAGTATCTGCTGAATGTATGAAGAATAAATGTATATATTTCTAGATAAAGGATGGGTGTGAGATAGGACTAGTATCAGCTGAATGTATGAAGAATAAATGTATATATTTCTAGATAAAGGATGGATGTGAGATAGGACGAGTATCTGCTGAATGTATAGAGAATAAATGGATGATTCTGGTGAACAGAGAATGGAAATATTTAGGTCAAGAATTATAAATTATTACAATTGAAATTTAAAAATTGTTAAATAAGATTAATATAAAATTATTTTAATAGAGTTAACACTCCATTTATATACATCGGTTTAAAAAGTACCTATATGTGAAATATAGACATGAAACTCTTTAAATAATTATGTAAACAGGTGAGGAGATATCTGCTATACTGGAGGTTTATCATTCAAAACACATTCAAACCTTTACCATTCACTCACTTTGGCAGGTAGGAGTTGAGTTTATAGTAAAATACGAGAATAGTAATGGTCATCGGAAAAAAAATGAAGGCCCTTTTCAATTAGCTAAAAAAGGCTGTTTCCTGGTTCTTATTCCATATTCATTGAAGCCTAAAATCTCCTAAGGTCGTTATATTTAGTTTGATCTGAAAGCAATGAATATTATTGCTCTTCTATTTAGTTTGATTTGAAAGCAATGAATATTATTGCTCTTCTATTTAGTTTAATTTGAAAGCAATGAATATTATTGCTCTTCTATTTAGTTTAATTTGAAAGCAATGAATATTATTGCTCCTTTGTTTAGTTTGATCTGAAAGCAATGAATACTATTGCTCCGATATTTAGTTTCATTTGAAAGCAGCAATGAATATTGTTGCTCCTTTGTTTAGTTAGATCTGAAAGCAATAAATATTAATGCTCTTCTATTTAGTTTAATTTGAAAGCAATGAATACTATTGCTCCTCTATTTAGTTTGATCTGAAAGCAATGAATATTATTGCTCCTCTAAAAGCAATGAATACTATTGCTCTTCTATTTAGTTTGATCTGAAAGCAATGAATAATATTGCTCCTCTATTTAGTTTGATCTGAAAGCAATGAATATTATTGCTCCTTTATTTAGTTTAATTTGAAAGCAATGAATATTATTGTTCCTTTGCTTAGTTTGATCTGAAAGCAATGAATATTATTGCTTCTTTGTTTAGTTTGATCTGAAAGCAATGAATATTATTGCTCCTCTATTTGCTCCTTTAAAAAGGATATCTGTTCCCTCAAGTGTGTTCTCTATACAGAAAGCAGGTAAACCGGAACTAATTTAAACCGGAACTCATTTTTTGTTAAGATTAAACCTCTTGTACTGTAATTAATTAATTTTTAACTGTATGTTTTCCTACCTACAAAACATTTTCCCTACATTTTCAGTAACAATAATGATAGAAGATTTAACAGATATTATATTTTCATTGGTGGATTTTCAAAACAAAATCGATATCGAACTTTCTGACACCGCAGTTTAGCCGTTAGACGTCATTTATTGGTTAAAACAAACCAGCCAAATGTATGTAACTTACGATTGTGTTTATGAAAATATTAAAAATATTTTCCTAATTTCAGATTCTGGATTTGAAACTAAAGTTGGACTGAGAAAACTTTTATTAGACCTGGGGAAAATACAATGTCAGGAAAAGATATTTGAAAAAAATTTCGAAAATTTTTTGTATTTAATTGCGATTAAAAGAAATTATCTTGTTGAATTTTATGAAGAACATACTCAACTCAAGATATGTTTTCGTAAATCAGTTAAAATATTCTATTAAAAACCTTTTTGTACAGGAACACGTATATTTACTTCATATTTTGATTTATGATGTTTCCTTATATTTTTTAAACTTTTAATGAAAAATAAAGTAACTGAGTCTTTGCTACAAACTCACAAAATCTAATCCCTATGTCTTTGCTAAGTTTGAAAAATCAAAAGTTTACACCATCAGGCTGCAAAGTATGGGGGTTAGAAAATTTGAGTTTGTGACAAAGACTCAGTTCCGTTGGTTTCTGCATACTGTCATTAATTTGGGGGGTGAGGCATTTATAATCTTATAACCAGAGTACTCGTGGACCATGGATCCTTAATCATGGATCAGGGATCTTTGATCCTTGTTCATGGATCATGGATTCTTACAAATGGATCCTAACTACTTTTCACAAGGCTGAACTATAATTTAAATATCTTGAATATCAGGCGTCCAGCATATTTCTGTCTGCAAGGAGGTTTAAATCATTAAAGTATTTCCATCTTGATGCTCCGGAATGGAACTTACTGAATGGATCGAAGTGTTCGAAGGGATCGGACGGATCAAACAGATGGGACGGGACGGATCTCCAGTTCCTATCAGACCTTGAATCTACGTTCATGATGAGACCATTAAAGAATGTAAAGATTAACACTTCTACTGTTTTCATGGATGGAGATTTAGCTTCGAATTCAAGGTAAACTTTTTTATCATTTTATCTAAATAAATTAGGATCAATACATTATCTACAGCGTGGCCCACTGAACATGAAAATTAAAATTGAAAAAAACCTAAGGATACTGTCAACGTAATTTCACGTATACAACTCCATTTACTCTAATGTAATGTAATCTAATTCACAATGGTCCGTTGAGGAGTTATGATTGTTTTTTATTCCTTTTAAAATTGACTATTTTTATTGCGGTTCTATGTCAAAGTGGTTTTTTGATTTATGCAGTAAGAGAAAAAGAAGGAAATAAGAAAGAAAATCCATATATCTGGCACATAATTTAGATTAATAATTGTTTATATTGTAAATTCAAATATTATTCAATCTAAACCCACTTTCATTTTTCGCTAACGTTTAATGTATTAACCTTCTTCATTAAGGTTGCGCATACCAGAGCAGAATGTTCATTTCTCTCAAGTGCATTTCTGGACACTGTTCTCTTTCCTCAAGAGCAGAGTTGTACTTCAACAAACTGAAGACAAGAAATTATTGAATTCTAAACAGGTAGAAATCACGTAGTTTTTATCTATCTAACTTTAATTTTCCATTTTCAAATATCCTAAACTTCACTTCTTTAATTGTTAATATTTTAAACTTTTACTCATATAGAAACGGATTAAAGATTTTGTTGGTCCAATTTTTGCACAAAATCTGATTAAAAATGTGGAAGACACAATTATTATTCTGAATCAAAAAGTGTTTATTATTGTGAGTTTCTCCTAGGGTTTCCAGCGAACAAAAACTTTCACGAAAAAAATACGAAAAAATTTTCGTTCGTATTTCGCAAACTTTTTTGCGAAATATTTCGTAGTTTTTGCGAGCAAACGAAATGCGAAAAAATTGGAAATTTTCGGTGAAAAATTTATTTTGCAAAAAATGCCAAATTTTCGCAAAACGATTAACCCTTTATTACTGGAAACCCTAGTTTTTTCATCGCTTTACATTAACAAGAAACCGCAAATGAAAATAAACAGTTTAAAGAAACGAAAACATGCATATCTAGTTCATTCATACTTGATCAGACAAAGCTTTCAAGGGTACCGTTGTAAATCGGGTGTTGCCATCATTGGTCACTTTCAGCTTCAATATGTTTCCATTTTTATCATTGTCCACAATTATCCAAAAAATGCAAATTGAGGTGAAATCAAAGGCCAAGGCCGCAAGGCGTTCCGAAACATCAAAGCCGACCCAGTCTAAAAAATGTATGCAATTTTTTATATTGCAATCTGAATCTTTTTGGTTCATATATTTTGTTAAAATTTAGAAGATTGAACTGTGGAAGTCAGGATGCCATCTGTACAATTCTAACCCCAACTATGAGATAAGGTCCCTAGAAGTACCCTTCAGTGTCGAGATATACCCCTGGATCCATGGGATAGGATCAGACATCAAACTATCCGACATTACGTCACTTCTTCTAGATTTGGGTTGGACTAAGGATTCAGAGTTCTTTAGAACAGTAGTTTTCGTCTACTTTATCAGGTTGACAAGTTAATTTAATGAATTGAACATTAGATACAGTGGAACCCATAAAACGGTAACTGGTCACGTGATTTCCGTCTGTACCACGTGACAATTATACTGCACTGTCATTGGCTGAAGTTATTGTGGCGTAACACGGACTATACGGATTAAATGTAATAATATTATCAATTTTATCTATTAAACATGCAAAATGCAAAATAAAAAATTATAATATGAGAAACCCCGAGATTCCCAGGCTCCTGTGGGATATAATTGTTTTCAGATTGGTTGCGTAATTGTTGAATTGGATCTGTTTAATGCAACAACTTTAATACAAAATCTGACATATGTCCGTTTTGGTATAATTTTGACACAGTTTTATGTCAATTTCACGAGACAGGAACATCAGATAGAAGTCTTATAGGTATCGTTCAAAACCTGAAATTCTTAGGTTTTATTCTATACTCCCTTTCATTTATCTTTTACAGTACATTTAAGTCGTCTTTCCATTTCTCAGTTCTATGGATCCCACTGTATATTGATTATTAAGGGTGTCCCACGAAACATTAATGTATTTGATGTAATTACAAAGAAAATAGTAAAATGAATCTGTTTACAAGTTACAATTGTGTTGTAAGTCCATGTTCATTGTTCATAAGACTTATTAAAGACATAGCTTAAATCTAAAAGTCGGCTTCTTGTTTCAGAATTTTCTGGTTCTCATTGTAATAAAACTCATGTTAATAGTACATGGTATGGATAAATATGGATATATTTTCATACCACAATGAACGATCGAAGCTTTAGAATAAAATTTAGTCTGAGTTTAAAAATTATAAATGTTTTAATAATGCATCTTCTTATTATTATAGTTTGAATGGAACTGGAAGGATTCGACTGCCAAAAAATCCGCCAAATATGTTGGTAAGATTTTTTTATTCCTATCCCGATTATGCTTTTTTTTGTCTAATATAAATTTTTTTAAAAATTTGAAAAGTACGTCGGAAAATTGTTGAAAAATAGATATTTTCATTTTTGACAAATATTAACATGTGAGCTATGATGTGACTCATGATATTACATCCATTTTTCAAAGGCTTTCCACAAAAATTTTAGACCTGTAGGCTGTAGCTCAATTTTATAAAAAAGTTTTTCTTGAAACACCGACCTATAGCCGGTTGGCCGTTCTCCATCCTACCTTAGGCATAACAAAATTGGGGCAAAACTATAAAGTTAAACAAAATGAAAAAGTTTGAGTGCTGTAGTGATCCGTTTTGAAATTATTAAGAAAAAACTCGTGAAATAGAAATTTAAAGAAATACGTTGAATACTTGTATTAAAATTACTGAACAGTTTTACTTTAAAGGAACTAATTTGTAATGTAATTTCAAGTGACCCTTCGTTTAAAGAGGGCCAGCCCCAGGGGGATGATAGTTCTCTGCCTTTGAGCTCAGTTAGCTGTACTGTACACTTAAAACTGTTTACTAATATTGATATAATATAGGATAGGCCAGAATCAACTTATAATATGCAGTACGCTCTCGGTATAGTTTTTGGCCTATAAAATTAGTAAAGGACTTGCGTACACATCACTCTATACACTATAACCTCGTTGGCCAGCCCCAACCAGCTCCGATTTACATCAAAATTTGTTTAATCCTTATTAGACCAATAAGGGTTTGCTAGTTTAAAAAGTGTATAATTCTGATAATATCCTCCCATTGTTTCTGCAATAGAAATGCGCAAGCTAATTTTAATAATGGATAAATTCATCATCAGACAAAGCTTTCAAGCTTACCCTTGGAAATCGAACATGCCATTTTTTTCATGGAGATTAACTTGAAATTCCCACAGCAAATTAACAAACCTTTTTTTGCAGAATAACAAAATTCAAAAACAATACATGATATTATTTTCTTACAAAAATTTTTACGAAAAGTTTAAATCGTATTATTTAGGGATTAAAGTGCTACAACAGCTTTAAATCTGTAGGGGCCATGCTCCTTCATCATATTGAAAGTAAGGAGCCGGTGAATAAAGTTGTGGAGCCGGGATGCAAAACTGGGGGTTTAGGCTCCTATATTCATCATGGTGTTCTGGAAGAGAAGGGTGGAATAGCTTTAATTCTCTTCATCACTAACAAGTAAGTTACTGAAAAAATTAACTTTTTCTACTTGAAGTGACGGCTTTGGAATCTTTCAAACCTTTATATGATCAAAAATGTAATAATCATATCAATGCTTTTCTAATTTGAAAATCATTTTATTCTGACAATTTTTTGGGACTATAGAGCAGGTGCCCACACTCTCCCTTCTCTTTCAATCCCTAATTTTTCCAAGGGGGACGTTCCCCTCCCCCCCCCTTAAGCCGCCTCTGCAGATAATTATTTGTTACGATATTCGTCTTTTCTGGCCCCCCTGTATTTATTTTATTCTCTTGGATCGACTGAATTAATAATTTCAGGTATATTATGTTGGTTCTGTTGAACAATATAACCGGCGTGTGGAAACTGGATTGGAGGATAGACACAGCAGAGCTCACTCAGATTCCGGTCATCTCAGATAACCAGCTTACCTTCATCCAGGTATATAAATATATTCATCCAGGTATATATTTTCATCCAGGTATACATTTATCTAGGTTTACACCCTTCCAGGTATACATTCATCCAGGTATACATTCATCCTGGTATACATCCTTCCTGGTATACATTCATCCACCTATATTTTCTTCTTTCTGTTCATTCATCCAGGCATGCACATTCATCCAAGTATACAGAGTTACCAACAAAAGATGAGACTGTAAATACGACCTGAAACTCTGAACGAATGGCAATCTAAAGGTTAAAATAATGTTTTGCCTTAAATTTATTCTTTTTATTGCTTTTTAATGAACTTATGATATTTCCGGGGGGGGGGGGGGTTAATTGGATTATTGCGCGCGAAGTGCACTGATATTTCTTATCCCCCCCCCTGGCAGAAATCCCCCCTTGAAATTTGTACATTGAATTTGGTAAATTTTATGTCAAAACCATGAGCAAGCTAGGATGCAAGGTGGAAACTGTGAATTAGCTATATTTGGATTTTAAAAAAAATATTCATTTTGAGTAAGAATTTGGCGCCGCAGGCAAAATTTTCTTTTATCTAATCAAATTCAAAATAAAAAAATTAAAGGGGTAGAAGGTGTCTGCCCTCTCTTCTTGCACTCCTAATTTTTCCAGGGGTGGAACATCCCCCCATTCCCCAATTTTCCAGAGAGAGGGACGTCCCCCCATTTTCCGCCTTTGTTAGGATTTTAAAAAGAAACAAGTTTACTGCAGGGAATAGTAAATAAAATATATAGAGAAACTGGAAACAGACAGTTGTCTCTGAAGTCTCATTCTTTGTGGACAACCCTGTATATACCTCTTTAGTTGAGCCCATAAATATGTTTAGGGGTGGGGGGGACGCCCCTCCAATTTTTCATCCTCCGCCGCCCTCCCCCTCTTTGCTGCATTTTAATAGATAGATGTTTCAAGTACGTATGTCACATAAAATGTGTTTCCGATGAGTGTCTAGAAATATTGAACACAAATTATATACATAGATGTTTTACGTACGTATACGTCACATAAAATATGATTCTGATGAGTGTCTAGAAATATTGAACACAAAT